TTCATGCAACTTGATGAGTTCTGATCGTCTTGTAAAAAAAATATCATTTTTTCGCCGGAAAATAAAAAAATAATATAAAAGAGTTCATATATATGTGTGCGTGTGTGCGTGTGTGATAGAGGTTAGAGGGGTTGACCAAGGTAATTTGCCCTTGTTGGATATATATATATATATATTACATGTTTGATTTTTTTAGCAATAAATCGAATGACACTTTATTTTTTGAATAAAGTGTACTGTATAATCGAAATATAATTTAAGAATACAAAATGAAAATAAACAAGAATCATCATTAGGGAAAAAAATTGAAAAGAATCCTAAAGATTCCAATGTCAATTGGTAATAGTTGATGTGTACACACTCACGCAAAACGGACCAGTCTGAGTGTCCGTGTTCGCATATTTCTGTATCAATTAATACACTAAGTTGACGTCGTTTCTGTCGGAATCGATATTACAAGATAAGAATCATATAATTGTTATATGTACATGATACACTGCGATATTGAATTTTGTTACCTTTGGAACAAGATCAAGATCAAGATTGAATAAGGATAATGTTGAAGATCTTATCATTTTTTTGGTGTATAAATAGAGGTTGATGTCGGGGACAAGCTTTATACGGTTTTAATGGTGAACGAAATAATTCAATATGGTATATGAGAGATTTTTCCTTGGGTTAGTCATCATATGAAATAAAGATCATAGTTTTATACAACTATTATAAATCCAACATTACAAAAAAAAAAAAACCCCAAATCGATGTAATCCAATCCATGATACATAAACTCACACTCTAATATAGCGTAAAAAACGACCGAATTATAACGGACTAAATGAGTTTGTAAGCTAACCCGAACCTTAACTAGTTTGGATTATACGGATCTGGTCGGGTAAGATCGGATGATATATCCATGTTATAATTGTTTTAATAGTTGTAACTTGTATATGCATATATTAAGAATCATGCATGTACTATAATTGGTTTCCATAATTATAAGTATACACTCTTTTGCGGATATATCGATTCGAATTCCCCTCAAATGACACACACATACACACATACATACATACACACATACATACATACATACATACATACATACATACATACATACATACATACATACATACATACATACATACATACATACATACATACATAATATGGTCTATATATATGTGTGTGTGTGTGTATGAGTATGAAAAATGACTGGAAACTATAATAAACGCAATAAGCCAAGTAACGAATGAATATGCAAATGATTACAAATGAAAAACGTTACTACTTGACATTGCAAAGTCAAAATAGCAGCATTACAACTGTTATCGTAATCGTACGTGGTTTGTTCAATAACATAAAATCTGATTAATTATATATATAAATTTTAAATGGTGACATTATGAATATATTGGTAAGTCAACGAAAAAGGGAAGACGATAGGCTAAATATCTAAAACATCGTCCGGATACATCGAATCTGTTTTGTTACCAAGAAAATTCCAGAAGAAATTTTCTATCGCCAGCCTAGACATAATAATTATCAGAACCACTATGAAAGAAATGAAAAATATAAATTTGGACGTGCTACGGATCTTTTATTATTTTTTAAAATCCATGTTATAAACTAATATATAATAAATATATTTTTCGGTTTTTTTTTTGTGATGACAAGTAAACCAAAAATACTGGTCCCTTCAAAAGCTAATCACCGTTGAACCAATTCTTCCTTCTTATCGAACAATAACTGATTTTATGTTATTATATGTTTTATTTGGAGATTTCGAAATAAGGAAAATACTAATAAAAAGGAAAAATTAGAAGATTTCGTATGTAAAATAAATGCACGTCGAAAAATACACGCCTAATGGAAAACTTAAGGAGTATATCAGGATGCTTTTTTTTTTTTAAAAAAAAAAAAGAGAATTTGCGACCAATTTGTAGAAGCTTTTTATAAATAAATTTTAATTTCAATAGAATTTAATAAAATTTGATATAAAATTGAGGAAATATAAGTTTTAAAAATTTTAATATTAAATCAAAATACAAATTAATCTAAGTACACCGTAAACAACTCTATACCAAGTGAAGAATACAAATCTGGGGTTGGCAGAATAAATATATGCTTTTTCGGGCCCACATATATAATTATTTTATGTTTCCATAAAAATAAAATAGATTAATTTTTTGCCTAAATATTACTGTAACCAGTGTACGTGTTACTGACAAACGGACAAAGTCAAAGGCCCTCGGACAACGAGACTTTCCAGCCAATCAGAACATAATATGTGGGTCCCAGTGTCTAACCTGCCACGTCAGTTAATGTATCTAGACGTAATAGGGTCGAGATTCAGATTTTGCACTTTAAGCATTTTGATCTCTTTGATGAAGGTTCATAGTTTCGATCGCTTAATTTATTAATGTGACCCTTAGTTTCTGTTTTGGCCAATGTTTAAGAAATCAAATTTCAAAATAATATATATGTTGTGACCGTTCAGTCGATTTTAATCCGATTATATCGTTAAACAAATGGTATAATTTTATATTTTATCTGCGAGATACAGTTGTATTTAAATTATTTTTTAATTATATTTATAATTTTATATAAATTTACTAATTAAGTTATTTAAAATTAGTGTAATGTTGCATATTGTAAACTCTTACAACTTTAAAAATGTTTATAATCAAAACAAGCAAGTGAAACTAAATCCTTTTTACAAATTATGATTGTGTACACAACTATATTTTGCATGTCCTTTTTAGTATTAAAGCTCCGGTGGAATTTCTATTATATTTGTTTCACTTCACATTTCAAGAGTTTAATTGTCCAATAGAATTATAACGATTGACGGAGAAGCTTCAAATATTTATTTATATTTTATTATGGAAAATATAAATACCAACATATCCAAGGGATCTTATCTTATCCATAATTTGTTTTAACGTATATACGTATATTATGGACACATACACATATATGACACATTCTTGATCATATTTCCTTAATTAATCAACTAGTTTTTAAAATAATATCGTAAAAAGAGCTATGGTGGTTTAATCTAATCACTATAACATGGTAGCATGACACATTCTTTTCGAATACCACCACGACATATAATATAAAGTTGAATAAAAATGACAAATTCAAAATCAGATAAAAATACTAGTGGACGTTTCAAGATTCTGTTTGGGAACCATTTATTCGGTATTTTAAAATTTGTACCAAATTAGTATTATATAGTTTTTGGTTCGGTTCGATTCCAGTTTCTGAATGATTTGGTTTCGATTTTTATTAAAAATATATATTTTTTAAAAATCGGTTTTTCGAGAATTTTATAAAGTCGGTTCGGTTCAATTCGATTTTGAAAAATTAGGTTATATAAAAATATAGCGTTAAAAAATTTTGAATGGTATGATTCGAAAAAAATATCGAAATTTTCGGTTCGGTACGTTCGATTCCTTGGAATCGAATCGAAATAGCCACCCCTAAAAAATATAGTTGTTAACACAGAAATATAATAAATAAATAAATAAACACAGTTCGGTGGTATCTTAATTACAAAAAATCGCAATATCAGAAATATTTGTATAGCGACACATGGTTTTTCAAGATCGTGCTACACGACCTAAAGATAATGTCGGGATTATTCGAACACGTTTGTATTTACAAAATTGTCGATATTGGATCATCATAAATTACTCTGTATCCTTGAATTTTATATTTTTAATATTTCAAACGTGAATTATTTCGTGGATTCAGTTTGGTTTACTTTGTTTCGAGATTGTTTTCTTCTTCGCTTCATGTTTATTTTTTGTATGGAAACATTTCAGACCCTTAATTTGGTAATAAAAATCCATTTTTGAACACGAAATTAAAAAGAATTTAAATTTTCTTGCTTTGCCACACTATAATAAGGGACGGCTCATGTATTATCCACAAAACACAAACAAACAAAAAGCGGATAAGAAATTTAAATATCAGAAATCATTGTTATAACCCAAGGACCAAATACTATACATAAAGACACATGTCCGAAGAAACCCCAGTCCACTCGTCACTCATTTTCCACCTCACGAACATGAAATCATAAACATAATATACATGCATTCGTATACATGCATACGTATGCATTTGTACACGTGTATTGAGCACGTACGAAGCATATGTAAGTAATGTATGCATATATATTACAAACGGCTAATAACATGAAGGAGGTGAATGGAGATGAAAATCCTATCAAATATACTCAAATGGATAATATTGAGGTATTTATTGATAGGATTATGTACGAGATTGATGATGACTAATTAGTGATTTTGATATTATTTCCCTTTCTTATATTCTTTTCGATATTTTCTTTACCATTTTTCTAATATTCTTCCTTAAGATTAATTTAAATAAATATCGAGAAACCGATTTTGCAGAGTATATATCACCATATCGGTTCCATATTAAACATGTGATTACATGGATTCTATGTCAATTTCTTTGGCTTATCAACTGATGGTTAATATACATATGAACCTTTTATCACAAAACGAAACATTTCAAACTTGATCAAAATTCAAATCTTGATCTGTCAGATTTTTTTTTATATATAATACGAAATTTCACCGAATTTTCGATTCAACTATATTTTTTCAGGAGAATCCTCACCATATTCTTCTCATCATTGCCACAATAATAAAGCAATCAAAACGCCTTGGGACATAGTCTTGTCCCACCAGAAACTTTCTCTTCGGTCACATTTTTCTCGGTAACCAAACACTACTCGGAAAAAGAATAAAACACTGCTGGGAAATTTTCCCTGGAAATGGAACAGAATTCGCGTTACAGAAACCGGACAGAAAGAAAGCTCATCGGTCAGTGAACGACAAAATTTTGCAGGGCTTTTATTGGGCCGTGTTATATTTTGATTGTATGGGCTTTAATCAAGACCACGTTAAATAGACTAATAGTAATTGGGTCTACACGTGCGAGTCACGTGTCCATCGTGTTCTCTGATTCAAAACCCTACTTAGGGTTCCAAAGCTCTCTCTATTTCTGCCTTTAGCTTTCGCCATTCCGCAGCCTCTGTTCATCCCGGATAAGACCCCCGAGGTAAAATTCCGATTTCTTTCACCGAATCTTAGAGCCACTCTTCCCTGAATTTATCTCTGAAGTCATAAGTTTTGCCTTGTTACTCTGTGGTTTTCTAGGGTTTAGGCATCTGTTCGTCGCGGCGAAGATGGTGACGGCGAAGAAGACGGTATGCTTTCTCGATGTAATCTTAAAACCTCAGATTTTTTCTCCGGATTTGGAGATTCTGATTCTGGAATACGGGATTTCGGGGAATAATTGCAGAAGAAGTCCCATGAGGGAATCAACAGCAGATTGGCCCTGGTGATGAAGAGTGGCAAGTACACCCTAGGGTACAAATCCGTTCTTAAATCCCTTCGCAGCTCCAAAGGTACTGCGTTTTTTTTTTCTCGTCTGTGTTGGATTCATTTGCTTCGCGTTATGAACATGTCGTGGGTTTATGATGATTGTACTTCGACTTGGGTTGTGTAGGTAAGTTGATACTTATATCCAACAACTGCCCACCGTTGCGGAGGTCAGAGATTGAGTACTATGCCATGCTTGCTAAAGTTGGAGTTCACCACTACAATGGAAGTAAGTGATTCTTGTGTTCTTAGTGTTATCTCCTTTGATGTCTCTGTTGGATTATCTGCTTAACTACAATGGAAGTAAGTGATTCTTGTGTTCTTAATTGTTGTCTCCTTTAATGTTCTTCTTTGATTTCTATGCTGAATTATTTGCTTGTCTGCTGCACTATTCGAACATAGTGGCATCTAAGTAGTTGGTTGGGCATTGCAGTCAACATGTCAGTGTATTTGCTAGTTCTTTTCCACTTTGCTCTGAATCCATACCGATATAGAAACATCTACCCTCGTTTTAGTATCAGTTAATTTCCTAGACTTGTGTGTAAGAAACATGACAAACACATGTTTTATTCAGATTCTTGGGGTATATGTATGTTTGTATTGCATAGCTTTATACTATTGACTATTGAGAAATGAGAATGCTCCCCTTTTGTTTTACTACGTGTCAGATGTTATTCCTGGCCAAGATTCAAGAATTCAGTTTAGTTTGCCAAAAACTTGGAAATGTCTTTTTGTTTTGGCTTGTGACCATTTTTTTGGTTTTTCTTTTTGTTCACAGACAATGTTGATTTGGGTACTGCCTGCGGGAAATACTTCCGTGTGTCGTGTCTCAGCATCGTCGATCCAGGTACCCTCTTTGCTCCATAATCCATTCGATCTGAAAACATCCTGTTGGATACACAAACGTATATGAATGAATGTACTCATCTCCTGGTAATTGCTAATTATTTCAGGTGACTCTGACATCATTAAGGCACTTCCTGGTGATCAGTGATTCGAGCTTGTCTTGATTTTGCCCTATTTATCTCTTTTGTTCATGCAACATTACATTAGTGTGTTTCTCCATGGTTTCCCCTCCCGATTATGTCTGGAATTCTCACACTTTTGTGGCAGTCCTTTGATCCGAACTCATGTCCCGGACAGCAGTTAAATGAACGACTTTCTATTTATAACTTAGGTATCCGACACATGTCCTATTTGATGAGTGGTCGATTTAGTTATCTGGGCTCTCTATTACCGAGAAATCATTCTGCAACATGAGTCTGGTATTGTGTCTCATTGCGGTCCGACGAGGGTAGAGTTCGCCGCTCTAGTTGACGTCGTTCGAAGATGGAGGGGCTGTCTAGTGCGGTGAGTAGCATGGGATTGTGTTCTACCATTGAATCTCAGCCGTTCATCAAGCGTTTTGCGTTCCTTTTTTTTATTTGTTTCATTTCTGAATTTGAATCTCCAAAGTCAAACTCACAGATCTTTTGTATTCGGTAATAATTTTTGCTTAATTGGACCTTCAACCTATTTAAGTGGTTCGGATTGAAATTCTTTTATAGGGAAAATAATATTTTTTGAAAAAAGTTTTTCCTTTTTTACATTTCTTAGTCAACAATTCTTTCTCATGCAAAAGTCTATATAAAGAATCGTGTAGCAAATAATGGGTTTTCATATATTGTAATTTCTTAATGGTGTCGGCGCAATGCCTTGGATTGCTTAAGCTTCTCATAACAGGGATGGAATGGAGCAAAATATCCAAGAGAGAGAAAAGAATATAGACGTATAGGTCATGAATGAGATCACCAAACATAATTATGTTTTTTTTTATAATTAAGATGGTTCCCCGAACTTTCGGTCCAACTACATCCATTCTACATTCGGGATCAGTCTTTGTATATAGACCATTTTGATTCAGAAATTACATCTTTCTCCACCAATAGAATCGAAACCAATACTTTGATAATGACTTTATCACCTCTCAACCATTGGACCACCAATTGTTGGATAAACACGATTCGGGTTATTATTGTGTATTATGACAAATTAACTATACTTATAACTTACCAGACTAAACCATATGATATTATGGTTAATTAATTAGACAACCATCTGATTGGTTAACTGACGGAATGGAATGGTTGTTTTTTTCAATCATATATTATAATATAAAATTTCAAATATAATTAATTTTTTGAAGTTTTAGTATGGAAAACTTTTTAAAGGATTCCTAAATTGGAAATGCAAAAAGGAGGAGGAATGACTACGATATTTTGAATTTCTAATATGTTATACAATTCTAGTAACCAGATACAATGAGGGTATCAATATCAACACACGTTATATTTATTCCACACACATGCATATATAAAGGTACAAGTAATATCTAAACTAGAACCAAATTAAACTAACACTTTGGTTGTTTGAATCATGGGATGAAACCTTGGGGCTCTTCTTGGGTTTCCAAAACTTCCAAGTTCTTTTGTTCTCCGCAACATTTTCCTCACCCTTTGCAGCCTTCTTCTTCCTCGTCTTCTCCTTATAAATACCCTTCATTGCGTAAACCTCAACCAAATCCGTCGTCCCTAAGCCACCGCCCCCGTACATTTTCCGATCTGAAAACGAGAGAGAGAGATTGCTTTTGAGGGTATGAGAATTATATATTATGGGGTTTCAAGAGAGGGGTATGGGGAGGTATATATAGGAGTGTGGATACGGGAAGCTACATGGAACTTTCATTTCGGTAATTGTTAGGCACCACAACGTGATTTTTCTTTTAGTTTATTTTAGAAATTAATAAATATATAGAAATAAAAAAAAAGATTTATTTTGCTTGGACAGAAAGGTACTGATTCTGCAACATACGTGTGGCCGAAGCAATCCCCGCCAAAGAGGAAGGCACAAGGAAATGAATCCTAGTAAATATTTTGTATTATCACTCAAAATAACAGATGATTACGATATATATTTCATAACTATTAAACTTGACATTCTAGTTGGATAACTTCATCGTGTTTTATTGTTTTTAGTTTTATTTTTATTTAATTTATCCTTGAATCCTAAATAAAAAATGATAAACCCTAAATCTGAAATTACAAACCAATTCTGAACTTAAAATCATAACTCTAAAACTTGACATTTAAGTGTTTTTTACCAAATAACAAAAAATTAAAAATTTCTTTGAAAATAAGTTTTTTTTACCAATTTTAAAATGAATCCAAAATGAACAGAAATAAAATCAAATCGAACCAAAGTTAATATAAAATCGAATGGTTATAATTTTTCTACAACAAAAATAACTGAATTTGAATATAATCTAACCGAATCCGAACCAAATTAAATCTGAAATAGTCAACGGCAAAACCCAAAAATAACAAAATTAGAATAGGGCGGTAAGAAGAAAAGTCATGTATATATTATATTTGAATATAAATACGATTTACATATAAAATAACAGAAAATATATAAAAGTAAATGTTTTTCCAATAATTCGATTTGAAATACAACATTAAATGAAATGACTATAATTTTTGTGGAACCATAAAATACGATCCGAAAAGATAACTGCACCGAAATTCGAATAGAAATCTAAAATCCCAAAATTTATAATTCAAATTTGTTGCTTCTAAACTCACCATTAAATTATAAAAAATATCATTTTCTACGTAAGAAACGAAAAAAACGGAGATCAAAATCTATAACCGAAAAAAAATATAATAACCTTGAATGGTGATGGTTTTTATTTTGGATTTTTGGTTTTAGTTTTTTATTTTCAGATTTTAGTTTTTTATTTTTGACTTTTATAGTTTTTACAGTTTTTTGAAAACTTGATAGATAGAAATAACATTTTAGTTTTTGGTTTTAGATTTTATATTTAAAAATTACAAAATAGGGATTTTAGTATTAAAACAAAAATCATATTTATTAATACTAGTAATAACAATATAAGATGGCTACAATATATATTTTGAATAATGAAATTTGAATTACATACTTTAAATTATTTAACCTTTTTCAAAAAAAATATGAGTTATGGTAAAAATTGTAAGAATATTATATTTATATAGCATGGTTATAATGTGAAATTATTTTTAAAACCATGGATATTTTTGTTTTTTAAATAATTTATATAATTATTTTTTTTAATAAAAAAAAGTCTAATAAAAAATCTCTAAAATTTACAAAAGAGTGATTGTTGTCAATCCCTAGTCGTTGGTTTTTATGTTATATTCTTAAAAAATTGATTTTTCAGGTATTTAGAAAAACTGAAATAAAAAAATCATGATTCAAAATTTTTTTAGTTTTTTAATTTTCAAAAACTGGAAAAATCACTTCCAGTCAAAGCCAATATATAAACTTTAGCATCAGGAATAGGCAGCGCAGTGATAGTTGATAGATTTTACGACAAATCCAATTGGTGCATTGTTCTTCAGAAAACCTCATGAAGGATTCTAGACCGGCCGATCTTGATCTCCTGGAATCGAAACCCGGGTTCAAACTCGATTATACTTTGAGATACAAATCTGTTTGTTGTTTTTCAATTGGTTGCCTACCCCTGTAATCGAAGAATCGTTGGATCGAACGCTTTTTTTTTCGTGTTTGAGGGGGAAGAGATAGTGAGACGTTTCTCTCCTTTTGCTTGTATGGTCTGCAGCTGAGGGGTTTAAAGCTATGTAACATTGATAGTAGAATCAGCATAAACTGTGTTGTCTGAATGTAATTTGTATGAAAAGAAAAGTTGTTGATTGCAAATCTCAGGTTTTGCCATTCGAGTGAGAATATATAATGCTCCTGCGTTGTGTAGATGTCCATCTATTTTGTGAGTGAATACTCGAACCCACGGGTTTTGCCGGTACCTATTCCGCTGGAATCTAGAATTCGAGAGCCCGAGCCGCAGTTGAGTGTGATCGCTGGTTCACATTGGCCGGATCGGGGGTTTGAAGAGTGTCCCTTTAAAACAAAAAATATATATATATAGAGAAAAATGAAACACCAAACACGATGTCGATGCGGGACCTAAAGGCGTGGGCCTAAATTGTTCACAATAAAACTATTGTGGTAAATTCGGATAATTAATCAAATAATGTGGACTAATTATGAATAGCAGTAATTGGTCTCAATCTGCGGAAACCCTAAATCTGGCTCTCGTTCGTGTCACGGATTGACAGTCCCGAGCTCTTCACCTGCTTCGCGTCTCTTCTGGATTTTGTGAGCTTCCTTTTGTTCTTTGCCTCTATGATGTGAATTTATCTGGTTTTCATATTTAGATCCTAATCTTTGGGTTAATATTGGTTTTTTAAGCTTGAGATGACATATATTGTTAGTTGTCGCGATTTTGAATCTGAAGCTTGAATCAGGATGTTTTTCGTTATTGAACGGTTTAGAGTTGATGATGCTTTCCTGTGTTCGTGTTTGGTTATAGAAAAAGTTTCAGAATGTTCATTTGAATTAATAGTTTTGGTTCCCGGGATGCAATTTCTTCTGCAGATTTATGGAGGCGTAGCTCATGATTTTGGATGCATTAAGAACTATCAGTTGTTCAAGGGCTCGAAATCTTCCACTTTTGCGTTTGGGTTGTGGTTTTGATTCGGTAACCTTAAGTAAGATGCGAGAAATCAAAGTAAAGGGTAACGCCAGGGATTTGGCGAATTCAGCTGACGAAGAGGCTGTATCCGTAAGAGATGATGAGAGATCTTCGTCTTTGAGCGTGAAATCAACCCCCGAAATCGAAAAGAAGTATGTTCATCGCGTTTACGATGCAATCGCTCCCCATTTCAGCTCCACACGGTTTGCTAAGTGGCCAAAAGTCGCTGCATTTCTCGAGTCGTTGCCTTCTGGATCTGTGGTTCTGGATGCAGGATGTGGCAATGGAAAGTATTTGGGCTTAAACCCAAAATGCTTTTTCATAGGTTGTGATATAAGTGATCCACTTATAAGAATCTGTTCGGATAAAGGCCATGAGGTTCTGGTCGCAGATGCCGTGAATCTTCCTTACAGAAACGGTTTTGGTGATGCAGCTATCTCTATAGCGGTTTTGCATCACTTGAGCACAGAGAGCAGAAGGAAGAAAGCCGTTGAAGAACTAGTTCGTGTGGTTAAGACCGGCGGTTTTGTTCTTATCACGGTTTGGGCCGCAGAGCAAGAAGACAAGTCCTTGCTCACCAAATGGACACCATTGTCACCAAAGTATGTTGAGGAATGGGTTGGACCGGGCAGTCCAATGAACAGCCCTCGTGTTCGTAACAACCCATGCTTCAGCCTCGAGAGCATTCCCGAGACCGAGGAAGGATCGAGAGAGCAAAAGGTCGAGAATTTGAGCGAAGGGTCAGTGGAAGAAATGAAAAGGAATCAGCAAGAGTATTTCGTTCCATGGCATTTACCGTACCATAGAGCCGAAGTAAGCGGTGCTTCTGCATGTGCGCTTGCGAGTGGGCTCGCTAAGAAAGACGATAGAAAGGGAGCTGTTGTATACAACCGATACTATCATGTTTTCAGCGAAGGCGAGCTCGAAAGGTATGTAGATTTTCTTCTAATTTTGCTTCGGGTTAAGATTGAAATCACAATTGGATTGTGCAAAGCTTGTCCTGATTAGAGGAACTAATATTAGTTTATGTTGTGGTTTGTTAAGGACATGGAAACTATTAGGTTTTCAGGATACTGGAGAGTTCGTATTTTTATCGGAATTTTATGCATCTTCAGAAATCTGAAAATCTTCTGAACATGATATCGGAACACAGACAAACTAGTTAAATCCGAAACATTTTGAACATCAAGATTCAGACTCAAAGACTGAATCAAAACCATGTTTGCAATAGTATTCCAAGTACGTAGTATGTAGCTGACCTCTGAAATTCAGTTACTCGGATTCTCGGTGTGATTTGCATTTGAATGTGTGTTTCGAATTCCGATTCTCTCTTCAAGATTCATAACTTTTTTGTTCCTTTTTAATTTGAGAATCCATTTCAGGTTGGCATCAGGAATAGGCAGCGCAGTGATAGTTGATAGATTTTACGACAAATCCAATTGGTGCATTGTTCTTCAGAAAACCTCATGAAGGATTCTAGACCGGCCGATCTTGATCTCCTGGAATCGAAACCCGGGTTCAAACTCGATTATACTTTGAGATACAAATCTGTTTGTTGTTTTTCAATTGGTTGCCTACCCCTGTAATCGAAGAATCGTTGGATCGAACGCTTTTTTTTTCGTGTTTGAGGGGGAAGAGATAGTGAGACGTTTCTCTCCTTTTGCTTGTATGGTCTGCAGCTGAGGGGTTTAAAGCTATGTAACATTGATAGTAGAATCAGCATAAACTGTGTTGTCTGAATGTAATTTGTATGAAAAGAAAAGTTGTTGATTGCAAATCTCAGGTTTTGCCATTCGAGTGAGAATATATAATGCTCCTGCGTTGTGTAGATGTCCATCTATTTTGTGAGTGAATACTCGAACCCACGGGTTTTGCCGGTACCTATTCCGCTGGAATCTAGAATTCGAGAGCCCGAGCCGCAGTTGAGTGTGATCGCTGGTTCACATTGGCCGGATCGGGGGTTTGAGTTTGGTTCCGTTCGATCGGTTATCCAATCTCGCGAGTAACTTGGGGAGAGGCTGTGTGCGTGCTGAGGCGAGGCTTGCAAGAGAGGTGGCGAATACTAGCAACCGGCGATCCTCGTCGAGGGGCTGGTTAGGGGTTAGATTTCCGAATGTGACAGAGAAATTCAAGACTAGAAACCTCCACGATAAGTCCATAATGATTCCGATGAGAAGCATATGAAAAGTTTTTTTTTTTACAAATGCTTCTTTTTATTGCATCAACAATTCAATCTGTGCTGATTTTTCGTTCTTCAAAATACCCTAAACCACTGCCTAAACACCTGCCTTTGTTCTTCGTCCTGTGGCAGTAAACACCAAAGCCATCCCTAAAACCCTAAACCCTCCACGCTCCGACATCCAAACAAATGCACTATTAGAACATCAATCTACGTCTATGATTTCCGTACCTTGCGTTTGCCCGCTTCTGCTCGCACCTCTGCTACGAACCCACCGGCTCCGGGGGGAGAACAGCTGCCGAACAAATGAATGGCGCGTTCTGAACAGATCATTTTGTCCTCTAAATGAACCCAGATCGAATAATCCGCCATCATCTAAAGAATCTTCAGAGTCTGAGTCCAAATCGTCGTCTTCGTCATCATGGTGATCGTAAACATCGTTGTAGGGCTCGATCACATAATCTCCCAGGACCATCGCCCCGGGTGTAGAGGATATTATAGTGCTTATCACGTCGCTTCTCTCTCTCTCAAACTCCAGCTCCTTCCACTTCTCTTCCAGAACAGGGTCTACGGCTCGAGGGCGAGCCCTCGGGTGAACGGCCTTGACATGTTTCTGGAGCTGTTTGTAGCTTCCAACAAAAGTACAGTTGTCTTGCAAACACGCCCTTTTCTTGGAGTTGAGATATTTCCGAGCATCTTCATCAACGGTCCAACCTTTCACCTGACCACGACAAAATGGACACAAGAGCTGAGGTGGCGTTTCGGTCTTCTCCTCTTTGGTGTAGGCCTTCTTGTACTGCTCTAGACAATTGGAGAAACGGCTGCTAGTTTCACACATGTAAGGTCGGCATCCTTTGTGGTAAGACGAACAGAGGAGCAGGACCGTGTTGTGGGGAATTTCCAGACAGACGGGACATGTCACACCCTTCCACGCTTTTCTCTTCAGACCTTTCCCGTGTTTCCCCGAGCGGTTTCCTTTCCTAATACCACCCTTCTTGATTCGGTACGGATTCGCCTGATTGGGGAGAGATCCAGATTTGCATCCGTCTGTCTTAACTTTCCCCATCTGCGGGTCGAATCTATTGCATCAAAGACATTCAGAAGTCAAGAAGAGAGATAGAAGCTGCGGAGTGAAGATCAAGACATGTTTCCAACAATAGTAAAATCACAGGGCAGGGCATACACAAAAACAACAGAAAAAAAATAAAACATTTCCCATGTTTCAGAATCAATTGCCAACGCTCTTTCCCACAATCTGAACCAAACACAAAATTAAAATGAAACAGAGCATCACCTGAAGTTTCAGATTTAAAATGATAGTTCCACGAATACATTTTATGCCACTGTTGTTAATGATATCACAATTTAATCCGAGACAGTGTCATGAGCCTACCGTGATTCAGAAAGGCCCAGATATAACGTCTCAACTAATAACCGACAAAGAGACAGTTTTCATGCGTATGAGATTCGTCCCAACACACTTCAACCCCAGAAATCGAACAAGGTTCTGAATTACTCTTCAGTCAGTGCAGAATCCTTACCTTGCCCTAAACACAAACCTACCCAAACTCAACCCATCATACACGATCTGCCAGAAGTCGAAGAAAACTCCGAAAACATTGGCACAAACAGAATTTTCCTGGGATTTGCCTGCACAGGAACTTCGAACAGAACAATCTTGGATAATACAGCAAGAGAAATGCCAAAAATAAGACAAACAACCACAAAAATAGACGAGTTTTCGGATAAGAAAAGAAACGTGATCACTTCAAACACCTAAAACTCCATTGCTAGATTCTTACTCTTACACGAAACCCCTTGGACAATGTATCGGGTCTCCCGCATGAACATCGTAAAAACAATATAACATCGATTCCACAAGTGTGTTCTAGGTTCAAAGTGAATTTAAAACTAGAAATCTGCAAATTGAAGAGCAGCATAAAATCATAAAAGCAGGATCCATCAATTAAAACACTGTATGAGAACGACCAGCCTAAGACAAAAAATAAAACAAAACATCAAATTTATCTACTTCAGCTAAACATTTCGAAATGCTCAAAACTTGTACAGAAATAAAATGCCCAATTCACACAGGATAAGAATTCAATTCCTCCATATCATCATCTATAACGCAAACGATTGAAAAATTCGCCAGGAAAAAAAAAAGCCCAACGCAAAAACTTTCATGATTTAAGAGCTTCAAACAACCAAAACCCCACTCGTAAGAATCGATCGATACACGGCGAGCACGAGAAACACTCGGAAGGAACTCCAGAAGACAGGAGACTGGCTAATCTAGGAATAGATCGACATGACACGAGATCGAAGAAGCTTACCGGGAGAATCGGAAGCGAAAGAGGAGTGGAGGTTGCAGTTGCGTCGACGATGGTAAAAAAAGAAAGACCGATTTTCATTTTTTTTATAAAGGCGTTTGCTGCACGCTTCTCCACGACAGCTCAGCCCATTTTCCCTCACAGGCCCAATCTCGGCTCCTCTACCGTACCGAAACCGAAAATTTTGATATATTTTTCGAATGGACGGTATTTTTTAAAATAATTAAAATTTTCGAAACTAAGCCGAATTTAGAAAAAAAAATCCAAAAAAATCAATTTTTTTAATAAAAGACAAACCCGAATGAAATCGAACCGAATAAAATATTATATAATAACTAATTATACAAATTTTATAGAATAAAAAAACCAAACCAAATAATTACCGAACCAAATCTGAACCAAATACCGAAACATTTACCTAGTTTTTCATATACATTATCTCTATATAAATCAATAGTATGGTGTCGCGAGCACCCGGAAAATATTTAGAAGAAGACCATCTGAATACGGATCCCATATTTGAATCCAATTTTGAATAACAAGAAATGCAGGACGAGAAAATCAAAATAAAATAAAATTTTTTAAATTTATTCTACAAATCAGTACTAATTGTAGCGGGATTATTAATATCAGCAAAGAGAATAAGAAAAATGTTCGTCTACATATTATTAAATATAGAAAAATGGTCAAAAATAATTGGCTTGTATTTAACACACAACACAAGTTTCTATATTCAGTTTCTGATATTAGGGGTGATTACAGGTCGGATATCCGAAAATTTGAAAGTATCCGAATCCGAATCCGAATATCTCGAATTATATATTTTATTATCCGAACTCATATCCGTGAAGTCAGATATCTAAACTAAAAAAACCCGTGAGATAATTACCGGGTACCTGCGAAAACACAAATCCGAATATTTATAATTATTTTCAATTAATTTTTTAAAATATATTTATATATACATATTCAAAATCATTCAAAATCAATTTAAATTGTATTTATATCCAAAATAAATTTATTTTTAAAAAAATACATCATAAATATATCCAATAATATCTATATAATCATTAATATCAAATAAAATAACACACAATCTAATAAAAAATCTAAAATTTAAAGAATAATTTTTTTATTATCCGGATATATGCGGGTATCCGTAAGATAATATCAATTATCCGAATCCGAACTCGAAAATTCGGGTATTCTAATATTAATAGCCGATCTCGTATCTCATTCTCTCGAATATCCGAAAATTCAGATATCCAAACTACGGATTAGATCGGATATCCGAAATTCGGGTTTTTTTTTTGCCCACCCTATCTGAAACATTTGTTTTTTTTTCTTTGTTCAATTTATATATATATATAAATTATGGTGCTAGTGAACAACCGAAAGGTCATGGCCCAACTAGGATCGTTGGGCCTATATTTTCACCTATGCACCCTAAATAATCCAAATCTTTTCACACAATTAATTATTTCCCGTATATTATATATATATATATATATATATATATATATTATATAAATTATGTTGTACAAAAGACTCAAGAAAACAACCTAGGGGTAAAATAAAAATAAAAATAAAATCTGATTTTTCTTGGAGAAGAGAAAAGAGGCTGTTGTTTCTTCATTCGTTTCGTTCCTCCAAGTATCCCGAAAATACAGAGAGAAAATTGTTCGCCTCCCTTCTTCAACCCGTATCTGTCCTTCCTCCGCTGCCCATCGCAAAAACCCTAATTTCCTCTTTCTTACCTCTTTTCTGAAAACCCTAATTTCCTCTCTCAATCCCTTCTTCTCCCGTCGTTCTTCCCATCCCCACCCCGTCTCTGCTCGAAAACCTGTTTCCCTTTTTGCTTTCTTTCCCTCCGTGGGGAAGAAGCCATTGTTTCGATTGAGCGATTGCATTCGCGAAACTCCTGGGTCCTGCGTGTGAGCGAGCCATCTCTCTCTGGGTTAGGGTTTTGCCGTTTTCCCTCTCTCCTGGCGTCGTTTGGGTTTCCGCGGTTCTCGTTCTCCTAATGCTGTGTTGAACGATATCTGCACCGTCTCGAACCCTAGGGCCTAGGCTGATTAGATATCAAGAGTGGTGATCATATACGTAGATATATGCTTTGCTGTTAGGGTTTCTGATTAAGGCGATTGAACTGTGGCGCAATCACTGTAATTTTCGGCGCGGCATTTGCATTTCATTGTTGAACTGTGTTATAGGTGCGAAGAAGGCTCCGATAATATATCCCTTCCCCCACCCCCATTGCATAATAAATAGGTGGGTGGATTCTTCGTTTGTCTCTCGTTTCTTCACAAGGATGAGGGTCTAGTATGAGTTTTGAACATCTTCTAATCCATCTGTGCGAGAGATAGAGGTGTAGAGGTTCTTCACATCTCCTTATCCTCTGTTCCATGAGATTCAGGATCTACAAAATTCATTCCGATTCGTGGGTAGATTGCAGTCGTGTTTGAGTGGCTGATTGGTGAATTCATTCCTTGGCCTTAACAGAAGTAAGTGACTGGATGAAAGAGAGAGCTAGGATAAGTTAGACCAGTTGTGCATCTTGGCGTCTTCTACCGGAAGAAAAACCTTTGTTTTCTCCCTGGGGGTTCAAGGAATTCCAGAGAAGTGTTCTTCTTTCTTTATTCTTATAATGTACAGCCCTCATAATGGCAGGAAGTGAACCCTCGTTAGCTCCTGAATGGTTGAGAACTGCAGGGAGTGCTTCTGTAGGCGGGAGTTCGAACCACCACGCTGTATCATCTTCTTCTCATTCAGGTATGCTTGATTCATCTTATTGACTTTTGGGGGAGATGTGTATTATTTTAGGTTGATTTAGATTCTTTGTTCATTTTAATCATGTTTGGTTTCTTGGATAGCATTGATGGTGATTTTATTTTCTTTTTCTTGGTTAGATTCTGCTTCTTTGCCGCACAATAGAAGGAATAGGAATTCTAGGATCAAAGGTGATATCGATACAATTCGGTCCCCTTTTCTGGATCGGTCTTCTTCCGCTGATTCCCGGAGGGGTTCTAGTAATGGGTCTGCAAAACATGCATATAGTAGTTTCAACTTTAGTAGGAGTCATCGAGAAAAGGATCGTAGCAGGGAGAAAGATAGGTCAAGCTATGTGGATCCGTGGGACAATGACACTCTCCCTCTTGGAAGCGTCTTGACTGGTAGGGATCAGGAGCAATTGAGGCGATCACATTCAATGATAACAAGGAAACAGGGTGATCACCTGTCTCGAGGGTCTGCAGTGGGCTTGAAAACTGCTGGTGGCCATACTAACGTCTACAACGGAAATGGTATTCTTCCTGGACCTATAGGCAATAGCTTTCAGAAAACCGGTTTTGATAAGGATTTCCCTTCGCTTGGAGCTGAAGATAGGCATGGGGGATCAGATGTTGTAAGAGTCTCATCCCCTGGCCTTATTTCTGCTGTTCAGAGCTTGCCTGTTGGTACCTCAGCCTTGATTGGTGGGGAAGGATGGACATCTGCTTTGGTTGAGGTGCCTAGTGTTATTGAGAAGAGTGGCACCGGGTCATTATCTTCCCCTCAAGGTAGTGTTGCTACCTCAGGTACTTTAACGGGAACTACTAGTCTTAACATGGCTGAAGCACTGGTGCAGGCTCCAGCCAGAACTCGTACACCACCCCAGGTAAGGGTGGCAATACATGCATGGTTTGCGTAGCTATTTTGCAACATATTTTGTCTGCTTCTCTAAATTATTATTATGATTTTCAGGGATCTGTAAAGACACAAAGACTGGAGGAAAGGACTATTAAGCAATCAAGGCAGTTAATACCAGTTGTACCTTCAGCACCAAAGGGTTTGGTACGAATCTTTGCTTTAGAAATCTTATTGCCCCCTTTTTATTCCGGGTTATCTTCAATATCTTTTGGTCGATTTCTCAGATTCTGAATTCTTCTGATAAATCAAAGCCCAAACAAGTGGTTCGAGTTGGTGAAATTGGTCATGCTGCTTCAAGAAATGCCCAACAACAGTCCTCTGCACTGCTCAATAGTTTCCAGTCGAATCCCGGTGGGCAGATCAAGCCTGACACATCAAAGAAGCTACTGGTTCTCAAACCTGCTAGAGAAAATGGTGTCCCTGCTATTAAAGAATTTTCAAGTCCCAGCAATAACACCAACACCCGAGCCGCTACTACCCAGCTTCTGACTGTTGCTCCCTGCTCCCAATCTGTGTCGGTGAGAAGTACAAATAGCCCAAAGGAGACCAAGGGAGTGTCTTTGAACATGATATCAGGGCAAACCGTTGAGAAAAGGCCTTCCTCTGCTCAAACACAGAGCAGGAA